AGAGACGGGGGGGGGAGAGGGTGGTTTCGCTCGGGAAGGGGGTGGTTCGGTGGTGGCCCGCTCGCTCGGTGGTGGCCCGTTCGGCCAGTCGTGCTGTGGCGGCTGCAATCGCGACGTCACCCCCGCCCTTCGAGCTCGCGGTCGCGAGCGAGTTACGACATCTCTCGCGGGGACGCGAGCGGACGATCGTCCACGCGCGAGAGCGAGGGGGGATTAAAGGTACTCTCTCTCTCCCTCTTTCTCTCTCCCCTCTTCACACTCTCTCTCTCTCTCTATCTTCTCTCTCTCTCTCTCTCTCTCTCTCTGGACCCTCTCGGAACTCGGGCGATCGTCTCGCTCGGTTCGCCCGACCGATCGCCGTGTTGCGCAGGGAATTAACGGGATTAAAAGCAAGACGTGTCCCCGAGCTACATCGAGCCGCTTCAAACTATATCCCCCCCTCTCTCTCTCTCTCTCTCTCTTTCTCTCTCGTCCTTCTCTCTTTTCCTCTCATTCCCGAATCTGAGAATCCATCAGCTGAATCCTCGCGGCTCGGAACTCGCGAAATCCCGACGGGAGTCGCGACGAGCTTCGGTTTCGCGTACCGAGACTCGCGGAGTGTCGAACGAACGATTCACGAGGCTGTCTCTCTTTCGAGAGAGAGAGAGAGATAGACGTTCCGCGAAATCGTCGCGAGAGGAGAGCGCGAAGCCGGAGAAGCGGGGTCCCTCGCGTCGGTCCCTCGCCGATCCGATCGAGATCGGAAGGATCTCGCGGGATCGCGAGGACCGCGACGGAACTCTCCGCTGGTCACGGGGCGCCCGACCTCCCACGCGCGCTGTCGCTGCTCGCGATAAGAGATAAAAGCGAGGATCTCCGGCGGATTCTCCCCAGACGCGGCGGACGCGAGTCGCGAGGCGGGATCACGCTCCGTAGGGCCACCCCGCCTCGCGCGGAGAGAGTGAAAGACGAAACGAACGAGAGGGAAAGTCGAGAGGATCGGGACACGGCGGGCCCGTGTGTGTGCGCGTAGGCGGCGAGGAGTTTCGCTCCGCTTGCGTTCCTCGCCTCGCGGAGAGGATCGATCGCGGCTAATTAGCCGGACGACGCGGACCGGCGGCGAAGGTGCGCGGCTGTGATACGCGATCTCGGGCCGGCGGCGCTCGCGAAACGATCGCTCGGCAGGCCAGATCGATCGGTGACGATCGTGGACGGGTGAGAGGGACCGGGAGGACCCGGAGAGCCACTCGAGAGTCGATTCGCTTCGCTGGAATTGGTCTATCCCGCTGAGACCGACGCACGGGGCGACGACAGGCGCGAGATCTATCGCTCTAAATTCCCAGCTGGATCCGCCGGAGCGGATCGATGCTGTTATCGCGACGGAGAATTTCACCGAGGCGTGGCGATTATCGGTACGAACAGCCGAGCGATGAAAAACTTCGTTAAGTTACGAGAGCAAGTTATTTAGTTAGCCGTCGGGGGCGTGAATCGTTTTTTCTTTCTCTTCTTTTAACGTTTCAGCTAGGAAATAATGTTGCGTATTTGTTAAGCTTCCACGCCTGTTTTCCCGGCTCGGCTCCCTTTTTATTATGTACTTTAAATCGAATATAAAAGTCGCGGGGGAGTACACGCTTCGCGAGAAAAACTTTTGTCGAGTCGCAAGAGGGAATCTAAGGTAGAGTTTATTTCTTGTCAATTTCATTTCGTTAATTTCTTCCGTTTGCGTTTTACCGGACGCGTTGAAATCGGAAATACTTTTAACGAGGGGTTTAGACAGTCCAAGCTACACCTTTCACGTGTGCCGAGTGAGTTTTGACGTCGAGTCAATGTGGACGAACTCGTATTTATTTTTCGAGACTCCGATCGTCGGCGAGAGAAGCCCGTCGGGGCATCAAAATGAGAAACAGCAGCGGCCAATACGAGTCGACGGTTTCGGCCGAGAAATTGATTCGTTACTCTTTTAAGGGCGAAAGAGGATCGAAACGTCTCTATTATACATGGCACGATCCTTCGTGCGCCTCACTTTCTCCACACTTCGATTCGATTCGTCTCGCACTGGTCTCTGTTATCTCTGCTCCTCCGCGTAGAAAAGAACAGCGACGCCGGAAAGCACCTTGGAGAGCGAATTATTTCGCGTCAATTAAGTCCTCCCGTTAATTACGCAACTTCATCGCGGAAGCTTACAAAAAAACGGTTCAGAGGGGACGCGGCCAGTCCTAAGGAATTTCGCGTGCAATTATTTATGCGCCTGACAGAAGCGCATTTGCCCCGCGGCCGCTCTTGCATTCGTAACATAAAAATAATATCGAGAGAGGAGCTCGGGCGAACAAAGGAAAAGACACGTGTCGCCGCCCACTCCGGGCGTCGCGCGCGACTCGCACTAGACTCCGCCTTTTAATTAGCTAAATGAGCCGAGCGCGCCGCGCGGCCTCTCCTCTCGCCTGCCGCGATCGCGATCTCCGCCGGCGATGCCGAAATTATTAAAAGACGCCCGTCGATTAGCGGCGATGCGTGGAAGCGAACCGGCCGGAAGCAATCTGGGCGCTCGATCCCGTCGCCCTCCCAACATCCCTCTCGCCCTCCGCCGCTCGTTATTTCCCCACGCAGTTATTCCCTGAAAAAGAGAGAGAGAGAGAGAGAGCGCGCGGCGAAGGGGAAAACTCGCCGTTTCCCTCCGCCCCTCGTCCTCCCGCTCGCGCCACGCGCCTCGCCGACACGTCGAACGCGAATCACCGGGATTATCCGGGCGATCTCGGAAGCGATTCGCGATATTACCTGTGTTTACATGATCACGTCCCTGTGTGTTTGCGAGCTATTTCCACGCGGTTGCAGCCCCTCGTTTCTCCTCCCCACACGCGCGCGGGAGGAACGAGCTCTCCTGTGCTCTCGCCCTTTCTCACCCCCCGCCCTCGATCCCGCCGTTTCATCGACGGGTCGAACGGTTACGGGATTACCGGGGCGATCCCGATGCGATTCCGCGATATTACGCGTGTTTACACAATCGCGCCCTTGCGCGCGCTCGCGCACGCTATCACCGCCCTCGCGGCGCGGAGAGGCGGCGAGGGGCGCGGAGGAGCGGAGGAAACGACCGTGCCTGCTCGAGACCGACGGGATTACGGGGGCAATCTCGAGAAATAGGAATGTATATATACGTGTGTGCACGCATATTTTAGCGACGCGCCCCGTATTTATATATGTGCATATATCCGCGCCCTTGCCCTTGCCCGACCCTCGCCCACGCTGCCCCCCTTCCGCCCCCGCCCCAACCGCCCCATCTTCGCCGCCCCTCGCGCCCTCCACCCCCGGTCGGGAGACATGCCGATGCGCCCGACGTATGTAGGACGTGTGGCGGCGCATTAGCAGCTTCCCCGAGGGCAATCACGGGCCGGAAGTCGTCGGCGAAATTATTAGTCCGAAAAGCGGACGCGCGATATAGGCCGAGGAGCCGATGGCGCAGTTCGCTCGCTCGGCAGCCTCCTGCTGGAAGGAGAGAACCCCTCTCTCTCTCTCTCTTTCTCTCTTCCTCGTCCGTTTCCGGGAAAGTTTGGACGGACCGCGCGACCGTGTACTCGTGATCTGGACGCGGCCGCCCGTTGATAGGCCTGCGACTCGACCTATCCGAGCGGGAGGGGTGAATCGGGGTGAATCTCACTTCCGGCCGGTCGTCGGTGGAATTTTGCAGGATCGCGGAATGCACGACTCGGGAGCGCCCTTATCCTGAATCCGAGGACGCGGATGGGGAAGGACGAGCGCGCTGTCGTTGCCGTCGTCGTCGTCGTCGTCGTCCTCGAACTGGGTCGTCGTCGCTTTGAAATTCAAAACAAGACCGCGCCACCGATACGCCGGTGCCGTCTCGGATTTAAAGAGCCGGATCGCCGTCGTCTCACGCTCGTTAGACTCGGTGAAATTAAATCCGTGTAACGAGTCGGAAGCTGCGCCCGGTGGAGAAAAAGACGGTGGGACGGCGAGGACAAAAGTAATATCCTGGAAGGCAGAGGAGACTCGAGGAGGCGGGACAGTCCCGTGTTCGGGGGAGAAAGAGCAGGATTACTCCATAAAGACGGCGGAGGAAGAGGAGCCGGAAATTCGACCCTAGCTCGGGGAGGAGGCTCTCGACGGCCGCGAGGACGGCGCCGAGGCTGGAAACGACGCCGAGCGATCCTTCCGGCACCTGAGTTTCCCGCCTCGTTCATCTCGATTCCGGAACCGAGCCGTTTATCGGGACGACGGGCGAATCCGAGGATTCGCGATAATCGCATCGGACGTTTCGAGGCCGCCTTCCACGGGCGAGTTCCGCTCGCCCGCTTTCTCGAGCCGATTGGCTGTACGCTCGGGGAGCGAAGGACTGAAGGAGCGGAGGGGAAAGAAACTCGCGCTGCGGGGAAACTCGGGCAGAGATAATAGACAACGTGAGGAATCCGAGGAACGCCCGAGGCGACTCGAGGGCCGATCGTGAGGGACGGGCTCCCGGGATTTATCGGCTCTTTATCGTCCGCACCCCCTCCGGAGGGATGCTCGACGCGGAAAGGCGCGTCCGATCGGTCGAGCGATCGGGGGACGACCGAGAGGCTCGCGGTCAGTGGTGCGCGGCTACCGGGATCGCCGGCGGGGAATCCGGTGTTTTTTCCCCGCTCGAATCGAGGAAGCGTCTTCCTCCGCGTTGACCGGGATCAAGGGCGGGCGGTGTGAGTGCCCCCTCGATCTCGCACCGTAATCTCAAGGGACATCGGTCGTGATCGGGCGACTAATACCCCGACTCGATGTTAGGGAACTGCGGACTCGATAATTCATCCACTCGTTGACGAGAGAGGAGAGCGTCCGGTCGATCGTGAAAATGTAGAGAGAATCCGCGCGAGTGGGGACGGGCGAGGGATGGGAAACTCTTCGCTTCGAGACGGGCGCTCGGCACGAGGTAGGAACTTGATCCCGATAGATGTAACGGGCGAGACGGACCGAGGATCCTAGGATTCCCTCCCCCGAGGACCGTTGGAGTGCGGCGTGAGAGAGACGGCGCGCAATCAAGGCAGTTAAGATGCACCAGCCTTGGCCGTTGCTGCTCCTGACCTTGTCGCTGCAGCGTTTAACGACCCTGTCGACGGTGGAGTCGAGGATGCACAGCGAGGCGGTGCTGATACCCGGCGACGTCGTGCTGGGCGGACTGTTCCCGGTGCACGAGAAGGGCGGCGGGACCGCGTGCGGGCCCAGCATCTATCACAGGGGGGTGCAGCGCCTCGAGGCGATGCTGTTCGCCGTCGACGGGATCAATCGGCAGGACACGCTGCTGCCGGGCATCACGCTGGGGGTGCACATCCTCGACACGTGCGGCCGCGACACGTACGCCCTCAATCAGAGCTTGCACTTCGTCAGGGCGTCCCTCTCCAACATTGACATCAGCGTGCTGGAGTGCGCGGACAAGTCGACGCCCAGGGTGAAGAGGACCGCGAGCGCGGGGCCCATCTTCGGGGTCGTAGGCGGCTCCTACAGCTCGGTGTCGTTGCAGGTGGCGAATCTGCTGCGGCTCTTTCACATCCCCCAGATATCGCCGGCGTCCACGGCCAAGGCGCTCAGCGACAAGACCAGGTAGACTCGTCGCCCCAAGTTGGCGCTCTTTTAAACGTTACATTGCAGAGAGTTCTCCTCGCGTCGAATTAGAATGGCGAATTACCGTTCGAGAGGTAAGACTTAAAGAGTCACGAAAGGGGCTTTCGCTCTTTGGAAGTAAACTTAAAGGGACTCTTCTTTGGCCGAAAAAGTGGTCTTGTTCAAGAGGGGATTTAATATTGACAAAAGTGGCGAGTGGAAAAACGAGCTTTGCACTAATTCACTAATCGTAGATGATCTTCAAACTTCAATTGAGGGCACGATTAATTAGAAATTCATACCCCAATGGCTCGTTATCGAGTTATTCGAGTCGTATTTCGCAAAGCTCCGCTTTACAAGCTCCGTGTATTGGAATCTATTATACTTGAGAATTCATAGTTTCCGCATGAACCCTGACTTTTTCGTGGAAAATCCATAATCTCCCTTTTCGTAACTTAAGTGTGACCAATTATCGACTCGAACAATTTTCGATTCGCCCGACCAGGCCTCGGTCGTAATTAACGTGAGCATCCAACGTTCCCGTCGGATACTTGTTAGTTTAACATCGTTTGTCGACCTCGCGTATAATTGTCATCACAAGATTTCCGATTACTGTTCAAACACTCGTTACGGGTGACTTTGACGGATACGTTATGCGCCGGAAACGATCATTTAAATGCACCTCAAGGTTGCGCGTTAATTAAAAGTTATCGATTCCCGTTACATTAATCATCGGTTCCCCCAAATGAATCTCGAAAGTGAATTGTTAATAAGTCAGCATTGATAATAGTAGATCCCTATTCAATTAGCGATACTACAACTGTTGCGCTTTTCCACGATATCCTCGACATTTTTTGCGGTACAGAAAAATGCCCTACACATGTAATGCGTATGTGACGTAAAGGTGAAATATACTTTTATGCTGTATAAGTACAATACAAAACAGCGCAGAAAAAAAGTGTCGGATCAACTCTTATATACTCAAATTAACGCGTTCATTGTTTCGCACATACGCCACAATCTATAATCTTCTTAGAAGCATTTCAATCTTGCATTCCAACGATATTGCATCTGCTGTTTTAATCTCGAAGCATTAAAGCTAAGTGTTCAGAGAATCGGAAAAGCCGAATGTTAGACAGATACGGCATGTAGTGACGAAATTATTAATTAGCGAATTCGATTGCTTGCACTAATGCGCACTGAGTGTACACTAAGGCTTGCTTGTAGTCAGTTCTTATATTTAACTTTGTCTTAAATACATGTTCAAAGAGTATTTAGTCAAAAAATGATTTTTCTGGATAACAAAATATTGCAAGAGGTATTTAAGATGATGTTTAAATGTAAGAATTGACTGGAAACAAGGCTTAGTGTGCACTCAGTGCGCACTAGTGCAACTAACCGAATTCGCTATAAGTACTATAATTGTCACTTCAAGAATACATATAATTATTTCGTCAACAAAATCTTAATCATTACAATCTTCGATTTGAAACTATGTTATTTTCTATCCAACATTGTTTCCTTTCCATTCGAGAAAGTGGCTCTCAAATAATAAGCGTATATTTTTCTTGATTAAATTATATAAAATCGCTTCGTCCAAGTAAGTTTCTCTTCCTCTGACGCAGAACAATCTCGTTTCAAGATTGTCACGTTGAAACTAAACATATTTTCCAGAGAAGAGTAGTCTTTTCTTCTGTGTAAGTGAAACGACGAAACATCTTGTCGATCTCGAGTCGAGTGCATTGCCAGCGTCCCGCTCGTTCGGTCCTCAGGTTCGACTACTTCGCGAGAACGGTACCGCCGGACACCTTCCAGTCGATCGCGCTGGTCGACGTGGTGAAGAGCGCCAACTGGTCCTACGTCTCCACCGTGTACTCCGAGGGCAGCTACGGCGAGTACGGGATCGAGGTGTTCACGCGCGAGGCCACCGAGCGTAACGTCTGCATCGCGGCCGCGCTGAAGGTGCCCAGCGCCGCCGACCCCAAGGTGTACGACGACATCATTCAGCGTCTGAGCAAGAAGCCGAACGCCCGCGCGATCGTCCTGTTCACCCGGGCGGAGGACGCCCGCGGCATCCTCGAGGCCGCGAGACGCTCGAATCTCAGCCAGCCGTTTCAGGTCGGTGGGGCCGACGGGGAGCGACCTGCAGGGTTGTTCACCGCAGGACTCGGGCTGGTAACATGGAATCAGCCCTGCATCTCTTCTTCTTGTTGTCGATCAACAGCTGTCTATTGTTTTCTCTCGCCGTTTCTCGTGCAGGGTCTCCGTATTGCCAGCGAGTTTGTCCTCCGTGTCGAAGTTACCCGTGTCTCGCGCCGCGCGGTTTTTCTCCCCCTTGAACTGAGAGACTTGCGCGAAAACCCACTCGTCTCTCGCGTCTTCGCGACCCATTGTTCGCCGGCGTTGCGCTGAAACAAACCGCGCTCCAATTTCCGCGCTCTAGGATTCCCCTCAAATAACGATATCGAATGTCGCGCAGTGGCTGGCCAGCGACGGCTGGGGCCGGCAGGGCAAGCTGGTCGAGGGTCTCGAGGAGGAGGCCGAAGGCGCCATCACCGTCGAGCTGCAATCGGAGAACATCCCCGGCTTCGACAGCTACATGGGCTCGCTCACCCCCGAGAACAACCGGCGGAATCCGTGGTTCGGCGAGTACTGGGAGGAGGTGTTCAGCTGCACCCTGAGGCGGAACGCGGCGACCTACGAGCGCCTCGGGAGCCCGCAGGCCGGATGGAGGACCAGCGGCGCCGGCAATCAGAGCCTCCCCATCTGCTCCCCCGGGCTCAGGCTGAACGCGGCGAGCGGCTACGAGCAGGAGTCCAAGGTGCAATTCGTCGTGGACGCGGTGTACGCGTTCGGCCTCGCGCTCCACAAGCTGCGCCACGACCTCTGCGGCCACAGCGAGGGCATGTGCTCGTCGATGGCCAACTACGACCGCGGCGCGTTCTATAAGAATTATCTGCTGAACGTGTCCTTTGTAGGTGAGTCCCCGATGACGGGCGGCGCGTCCTCCCGCACAAAACGGGAACAATCGTGACGGCGCGACGCGCTGTTTGTTCGCCCCTTTTGTCGCCGTTCTTATCTCACCCCGCTCCCACTCCCCCGCCGTTCGTCTTACGCCCGCTCGTTCTAAGGGCGCTGAAGAACTGCCGGGCGGAGAGGGAGCGCTGAAGGAATGCTCGATGAAATGGCGTTGGATAATCGGCGAGGCGATCGATTTGGGAAAATTAAATCCTGTCGGCCTCGTCAAGAATGAGGATCTCTCCAAATAGAGCGCTGTCGAGTCGAAATATTTGAGGGCTATTCGCGCGGCTCTCCCCTTACCCCCGGCAAGGGCCATTTTGACATTAGAATGACACTTTTGGCGACACTTCGACGTCGAAATGCCGACAAATAGCGTCCGCTTGCTATCCGGGACATTACATGTTCCATCCGCGCGGCGTTTTCCTCTTCTGCAAAGATTCTCAACCGCGTTGTGGCTTCTTATCGTATTCGCTCTGACTCGTGTTGATTTTTAACTCTTACTCTCTTCTATCATAATTTCATGGAATCGTAATTAACTGTCCCGTTTAATTTTTTATATTATGCACATCCGGCTGATAACGTCCGAGACGTTCTGGAACAATTTTGTTCCTTTGTACGATTTGTTGGAATAATTATTGTTTGACTCTTGATGCAAAGAATCTCAACCGCGTTGCGGCTTCTTATCGTTTTGCTCTGACTCGTGTTGATTTTTAACTCTTGCTCTTTTCTATCATAATTTCATGGAATCGTAATTAACTGTTGCGTTTAATTTATTGTATACATATCCGGCTGGTGAGGTCCGAGACGTCCTGGAAAAATTTTGTTCTTTCGTACGATTTGTTGGAATAAATATCATTTGACTCTTAGCAACTAATTTCGCTCGGTCATTGTCCAACGACAACTTGTTTTTGCATGCGCAAGCACGAACTTGGCCTTCCGTGTTGCTTCTCCTTTCGTCTTTTTCAGTCTTTGTTTCGGGATATCATTAAACTTTCGCTGCACAATGTTATTACCCGAGAGAGAAAGAGAGAGAGAGAGAGAGAGAGAGAGAGAGAGAGAGAGAGAGAGAGAGAGAGAGAGAGAACTGTCGCCATCGAGACCGAGCCGTTGATTCGCGGCCGCGAACGTCTCGCCTCGGGACTCGCGGGCCGCGAACGGAAGTCCGTAGTCATCCCGAGTTATTTTGCAGACACCGCCGGCAGCGAGGTGAAATTCGACGAGCACGGAGACGGCCTGGCGCGATACGAGATCCTCAATTTCCGCAAGGGAACGAACAACAATGGCGCGAACGGCTATCACTATAAGGTAAGGCTCATTCCGTTGCGCCTTAATCATTGTAACGCGCCATTATATCACCGCCGATGCATAATTGAACCAACTCTCCGCCCGCCGAGAGCGATAAATTCAATTGGAACTCCCCAGGAAGCCGCCCCCACCCTCCCTCGCCACCCCCCTCGCTTTCGCAAACTTTAGTTTTCATCATCACTCCGCTAATACGCGGACGGGCGTAGCGCTCGAGATTTTCCGATGAAAATCCCCCGGAGATAAAGTTCTACAACTGATTTGAATTCGGACGAAATGGCGAAACAAAGCGTCGGGTTTTATTTTTTAATGGAATTTCGCCGTGGAAACTGTAAGGTCGATATGAAAAATGGAGCACCGACACCTTTCGCGAACTTCGAGTCTCGTCGTTCGTTAGCACCTCGAGTGCCAAGCTGATTTTGGCGTTGAACCTGATTAATCTAATTATTTGAACGTATTTTTATTGCTTTTTTTTCAAGGCTTCATATTGTTTCTTTTACTGTCTGAAATATTTCGTCCAAATACTCGTAACCGGGCAGATAAGACACTCGCAAACGGATGACGAAGTCGTTGCGGGAACTTACGCGTAACCCAGATATGGGTGACAAGGCACTTGAAATGTTAATACGCGTACCAGATTTTCCGACGGTCGAATAATCCGAACAATGTGGCCTCTTATCGTTCTCTTCGGCTCTTACGGCTATCTGCGTTTATTATGTACTCTCTACGAATTACCTTTCAATCTATTGACTAACGTATCTCTACTTAATTAATGTTTATTTATGTACATATATTCATTTATCGGCCGGCGAAGACTCCGCGTAGTCGAAACGTTCCGCTTATTACTTTTTCTGGTTTATTACATTGAACAAATCACGTTACATTCGCAAAATGTTTTCGTTCGGCTCGTCTAACGTCCCTCGCCTTCTTCCTATTAATCTGAACAACGTTCGAGCCTCGAACAGTCGTTTGAATCCCCGAAGACAGCTTGTTTTAACGAGCCTCATTCGGACAAAACGACAAAGCACAGTTCGCATACTTTGTTTCGAGAGCTTTACGCTGGAAATTGCGAGGCCAGTGCCAAAAATGCCCCGATGATTTTTCACACCCTCAAAAAGGATTTCTGTTACCGAGACAAAAAATATTCTTGACGCATTTATATTTCTCGCAACCTCATTTGGTATAAAAATAAGACAATATCACGATAAAATCAATAATTCTTATTCTCCTCTGTCGAATTAAAAAAGTTTGACTGACTATATTGAGACAAGAGTAACTTATATAAATGTAAGTTTATTGTTGCGTTTAGAATAAATTTTCCCTCCATCTTACAACGCACGAAGTTGGCATCACGATGTTCGACAAAAGACGATACGTACTATCATTTTATTCCAGATTTTAGAAGAGTAAAATATTCCTTTCTCTATAATACATAAATATGATTGGCGCTATATCGATCCTATTTTATGATACTTTGAAGTGTAATAGTATTGAACCCGGAAATTTTTTCCGTGGGTGCAGAAAGGATTTCTGTTACCGAGACAAAAAATATTCTCGACGCATTTATATTTCTCACAACCTCATTTGGTATAAAAATAAGACAATATCAAAATGAAATCAATAATTCTTACTCTGCTCTATCGAATTAAAAAAGATTGACCTACTATATTGAGACAAAAGTAACTTTACATATTCCTGCGTTTAGAATAAATTTTCCCCCCATCTTGAACGCACGAAGTTGGCACCGCGATATTCGACAAAAGACGATACGCACTATCATCTTATTCTAGATTTTAGAGGAGTAAAATATTCCTTTCTCTATAATAAATATGATTGGCGCTATATCGGTCCTATTTGATGATACATTAAAGTGTGATAGCATTGGATCCGGAAAATTTTTCTGTGGGTGCAGAGTCACACGGTAGTCGAAATTAAATTGTTGACAGCCGCAACACGTCGCGCCGGTGTTTCCAGCGTAATCGCGATTGTTAAATCGGGGAAACTGCCGCTATTTATTTACCCGACACGGTATTTTTTGATTGCCAGTTTCTACCACGTCGCGCACGTTAATACGCCGTGTAAAGTCGACGCGATCGATGCGGCGCGGCGCGCCGCGACGCGGAATCGGTCGTGGCGAATGCGCGAAGAAGTGGCTCTGTCTTTTTAACGAGTAATTAAAGTTGCCCGACGGCTGTACTTTCGAGATCCGGCGAGCATTACGGGAAAACCGCTTTTGCTTCCGGGATAGCCGAGGTAGAATGAAACCCCCGAGCTAAATATAACGGTGTTTACAGTGAAACGGGAAAATTGCAAGTTAACGGACAATAAAATTGACGTTGAAAATGTAACTCGAAATTAAGCGAACGGAGTCAATTTATTGGAACGAACGGCGATAATAAAGGTTTGGTCATTAAGCTATTCACGCTTTTCCCGTTACGTTCCATTCGAAAAGTTATTCGCGGTTTTACATTGTTAATTTGCTAATTAAGCAACAAGGGAGCCATGTCGAAATGTTATTCAAACGGACGTTACGCGAACGTGGATGAAACGGAGAAAGAGCTCCGAAGTCTCCCTCGAAAAATACGAATGAAATGCGGAAGGAATTTTAGGAATCCTCAATCTCTCCTCTCTCTCTCTCTCTCTCCCTCTCCGTCCATCTAACTATCCACCCATCTATTTATCTTCCTCGCTCGCGCGCGCGATTAACTGGCGGCAGACGGGAAATTTGACCGGCTTCCAAATCGCGGAAGCGCGAAACGCTTGCGCGCGCTGGGGTCCAGCTGGCGGGTCAACCACGTGCCGAATCTCTGGTCGACAGGTGGTGGGCAAGTGGTACAACTCCCTGGACATCCGCACGGAGGAGATGGTGTGGGCGCGCGGGACGAAGGACATACCGATCTCCGCGTGCTCGTTGCCCTGCGAGCCAGGTATGATAAAGAAGCAACAGGGTGACACTTGTTGCTGGGTGTGTGACCAATGCGAGGCGTACGAGTTTGTTTACGACGAGCACACCTGCATGGACTGCGGCCCGGGCCTCTGGCCGCACCCCGACAAACGGGGGTGCTATCAGCTACCGGTCAATCATATCAGGTACGCGCGCGGGCGCGCGCGCGCGCGCTCGTCTCTCCCCGGGGTCTCCCGCTGTCGCGAGAGGCGCCGAGGGGGGCGTTAATCCCGCGGGATTAATAGATCGCGCATAGAATTCGGGATAAAGGCGAAACTGCGTCGCGGGGCGAATTTAGCGGCGCCGCGATTCAACGCGGAAATGCGGCTCGCGCTCGCCTCGAAGATTATCCGGGGAGGAATTTCATTTCATTCTTCGCGAATTTTAAGAGTCGTACAGATCAATAAGTAGATTCGCTTTTTTTTCCCCCTCCCCGTGAAATAGCGTTCTGAGAAATTCTCACGAGTCTCGGACTTGGATGTCATCTCGGCCCGGTGGAAACACTTTAAAGGGAAAATTATATTTATTAATTATATCGTGCGTTCGCGGTGTCGTTTATTTCAACAAAGCTGAAAATCGCTTTTCCCCACCATTGGCCGATAACAGATCGGTTTTTTTTTTGTACACCAATTATCGTTCATGTCGTTTGAAGTAAAATCGCATCCCCCAGGGTTGAACGTCGATCGATGGCGGACCGAAAGGGAATTATTTATCGCGGTATCGTTATTATTTATTTTTCGCTTAACGGGCGCCGGCTGCCAGGGCAATTGCACTGATTGAACGCGGTCCGCGCGTACTCCGTTCTCCCATGCAGGTGGAGCAGCGCCTTCGCCATCGCGCCCGCGGTAATATCCTGCCTGGGAATCGTGGCGACCCTGGCGGTGGCGTGCTTGCTCTTCCAACACCGCGACACCCCGGTGGTCCGCGCCTCCGGGCGAGAGCTCACCGTGATCCTGCTGGCGGGCGTGCTGGTGTGCTACCTCAATACCTTCGTGCTCCTCGCCGCGCCGACCACGGCGACCTGCGTCCTCCAGCGCTTCGGCGTCGGCGTGAGCTTCAGCGCAGTGTACGGCGCCCTGCTCACCAAGACCAACCGGATCGCCAGGATCTTCGACTCGGCCTCGAGGTCCGCCGTGAGGCCGCGGTACATCAGCCCCACGTCGCAGGTCTGCATAGCGGCTGCGCTGATCGCCTTCCAGGTAAGCGCGTCCCGATTCTGGGAGAGCAAAGCTTCTACTTCGAACCAGGTGTTCCTGTTTTGGAACCTCGGCGCGACTGTCATCATCGTCATCCTCCTCGTTATCGAGGATACGTTTCATATAATCTATCTTCTTCTTCTTCTTCTCCTTCTTCTTCGTGTATTAGGCTTAAAGCCTGTTTTATCCAGTTTGTTCTGGTATTTTGAGCACTTGGTTTTACTTCATATTCGGTAGGCTGCTAACCCTTGCCGAAGGAAACCTGCCTGGAATGGCTACATCCCTGAAGGGGGCATGTGTGGCAAGATCATAGACATGGTAAATATAGACTGAACGTCCCATTGAATAAGCTGAAGCTTATGAAGAGAGAGACAGAGAAGGTTTAAGAAGACTTTCTTTCTCTGTCTCACCATGGTGACAAGGGAGAATCACGCCTGTGTTGTACCGCGCAGACACGATTCCTTTCTTTTACGATGGTGTGAGACAGAGAAAGAAAGTCTTCTTAAATCTTCTCTCTCGCTCTTCACAAGCTTCAGCTTATTCAATGGGACGCTCAGTTTACCATATATTTACTATCAATAGATCAGTTTAGTCGACCTTAACTGACACTTGTTTAATAAATTAAAAATAAAAAATATAACGTGCGACGCTGCGATCACGAGTTTGGGTCGTCAGGCACAACTTTGTAGAAGAAGAAGCTAAAATTCGGTAAATGATTTCGCAACACATCGTATCTTCTGCATTGTAGTAGGAAGATCAATTGTTGGTTGGTTTTGCACATTCTGGTGTTCAGATTCATCCAATCCTTCAACATCCTAGTAGTGTTACATCCATATCGTCTAGAGTGAAAAAACTCTCTTTAGGAATAGACACCACATTTTCTATGTCGATGCAGAAGATTCTCCGGTGGTTGCCACTTCCCTTCGGGAGATTCCGAAAAAACACCAGCGGTGTCCGTGGATTTGAACTCGGAACTTTTCGTTCATTTGTTTACGAAGCAACGCACAGTTCTCTGCGCCGCACTCGCCACATATAATCTATCTGATTCTCTAGTAATAGAGTTCCCTCTATTACTAATCCCCTATCATTAGACAGGCTCCTAATATGAGATCGCGGGGTTTATGTTAGATTAATGGGCATCGTCTGTTGATTCCACCATGAATTTATTCCCCTTGGAGCGAAACCTATTTAAGTGGAAAATTCACCGTTAGATCGTGCAATCGTTGCGAAAAAGGTTTGTGATTGAATTTGGGTGTTGAGCACCTGCTATCTCATATTCGAAACCTGTCTCATGATAGAAGACTTTTCTCTATTGAATAAAAGAAGACGAGGGCCGTAATCATTTTCCAAGTTCGCCCCTTTTCTAAAATATCCGAGGTATTCTAAGACTTGGTTCGAAACAGACACTTTGTCCCGTTGCCGCGTGTCGTCGGGACGTTTCGAGAGAGACAGTCTCTTTTCAATTGCCGAGGTGGTGCTCACGCTGGTCTGGATGATCATCGAGCCGCCGGGGACCAGGTACTCGTACCCGGATCGCCGCCAGGTGATCCTCAAGTGCAACATCCAGGACATGAGCTTCCTCTTCTCCCAGCTGTACAACGCCCTGCTGATCCTCATCTCGACCGTGTACGCGGTGAAGACGCGCAAGATCCCGGAGAACTTCAACGAGAGCAAGTTCATCGGCTTCACCATGTACACCACGTGCATCATCTGGCTCGCCTTCGTGCCGATCTACTTCGGCACCGGCAACTCCCACGAGACGCAGATCACGACCCTCTGCGTGGCGATCAGCCTGAGCGCGTCCGTCACCCTGGTCTGCCTCTACTCGCCCAAGGTCTACATCATCGTCTTCCAGCCGGACAAGAATATACGAGGCAAGGTCTGCCTGGGCAGCACGTTCAAGAAGCAGGGCAGCAGCGCCGGCGCGTCGTCCATGACAAAATGTGAGGCTGACACCGCACTCGTTGCCGATTACGATCCCGCGCTGACACGTCGACCTCGTACAATTCTTTCCTCGACCGAAGCGAGCAGAACTACGTCTCGAAAGCTTTTCTCTTGTCCGGCGACAGGTGAACCGCCGCGACAATTAACGTAATCGCTCGTCTTTATTAATTTTCTCGTCTTATTCGACGAACGCTCTGACAACGCGCGAATATGTTCGATAATTATGCAGCTAATGAAGTAAATTAATATTTTGAAAGAACTGGCGGAATTGGTGCCTGTTGAAAAGGTGTCCAGGTCGCGAGGAAGTTAAAAAGATATAATTATAAAGATAAGATTACAAAGGAAGGTGCACAAAGGATGGCGGTAACGCTAATTCAGACGACGAGACCTCCGCTCCCGAGTGATTTTTGCCTACGAGGTTGACTGACGCGAGGGCGGCGCGGAATAAATAGCAATGTAAACGCGAATAAAAAAAAAAGGAGCGCGCGCTCCTCCCCCTTTCCGGCACGGCTTTAAAAGGGACTCGTCGCGCAAATCCGGCGCTGAATTCGCCGTTGTATCGAAAAATCCGATATGACATCCGATCCGCGACAGGCGGGCCGTCGACGAATCGCCTCCGCGCCGCCGCTGCTCGGCGGGCTCTGCCGCGCGAAAAGAAAGTAATCGATACGCGGGAGAGACGCGACGGCCTGATATTCGACAGTAACGCGGCCGTTGTAACGTCCCGGCCGGGCCGGAAAATCTGGGCCAATCCGCACGGAGATATCCGGAAGGCTTTTAGTTTATTAAACGCTTTTATTTATAAGCGCGCCCGCGCTCCGAGAGACAGAGAGAGAGCGCGCGCCTCGCTTCACCCTTCGCGCGCTCTTTTCAAAGCGGCGCGATCGATCGATGGATCGATTACGTTGATTTCCCGCGTGAAAATCGTTATCGCGCGCGCTTCAAGAGTGAGAGCGAGGGGGTGGGG